CGAGGTATTGCTTATAGATGGGTTTATCCCTTCGATGCCGTATTTGGTCCTTCGTCAGACCTGATTCGGCAACCATTTTTCGCCATAAAGGGGCCTTTATGTGACTGGATCTCGATGTTTGCCAGTAATATCATAATTTCGGAATCAGGCCTTCGTAGTTCCCTCCTCCTGCTGTCGTTTTCTCTGCTTCGGGGTGTGCCCTCTGCTCGTGAAGCCGCACCCCTGTGTATGTAGTAAAAACCTGCTTTGCAATATTGGCATTTAGTTCGATCGCGCTTGCCACATGTTAGGAGATGTTTGTTGAGGCCACTTTTTGTCTCATAGGGCCTCTCGCATATTTGACACCTGTATGGTGCTGCATTGGCAGGCTGCAGGGTCACCGTATTACTGGGCCCTGGTATTGGAAAACGGTATTCGAGCCTGCCAATTTGGTTCCGGTGGCTGTTGGGCCACCGGCAAGTCGATTTTCCACCCGCTTGAGGGGATTTAACTGGTTCCCCCTCATTTATATCGAATTTCCTCTTGCGGGTGGGGTGACGTGGACGTCATGTCACGTGTTCTAACTCTCTCTGCCGCAACAGCGGTTTTAAATGTCTTCCTCTTGGAATCCGCCATTGCGCATGCGCCGCTGTTGTTGAGTGTCTTTGGGTAGATTAAAGTACTGTCCTTTTCGCGTATGGGAGTGAAGACCGTTTGCCGCTACGTGGTCTGGTTCCGGAGATATCGCGTGTGAAAGATTTTATCTCCGGAACTACCTCCTCCCAGCTCCTGGTCTCCTGATACCTGGCCGCACTTAATACGGCCAGTACGGCGTTAACTGTCGAGTTATGGAGCTGAGATTTGGTGTGTGTCCTTGGGGCCGGTAGATGATTGATTGGACGCCTTTTTGGCCCCGTCGGACACGATGTACTTGCCAAAAGGGCACTAGCGGCTTGACGCCGGAAACCGGCGTTGCGGGGGGCAATCGAGCTGGTGTGATAGAGTCATAGTTACTCCCGCCGTTTACCCGCGCTTGCTTGAATTTCTTCACGTTGACATTCAGAGCACTGGGCAGAAATCACATTGAGTCAACACCCGCAGGGGCCATCTCAATGCTTTGTTTTAATTAGACAGTCGGATTCCCCCGGTCCGTGCCAGTTCTGAGCTGACCGTTGAATGGCGGCCGAAGAGGACACCAGAACGCCCTTGCGAGCGCACTCTGGGCCTCGCAGCAAGACGGTTTCCGCGGGAGGCCAAGGCACGGTACCGAGTTCGGATCCGCAATCCTACCGCACACGCGCGAACGCATACGACAGAACGTTTCACCTCGCCCAGGCCCGGCACGTCAGCCGCGACCCGCTTCCTCGCCAAGCCCGACACGCCCCGATCCTCAGAGCCAATCCTTATCCCGAAGTTACGGATCCAATTTGCCGACTTCCCTTACCTACATTATTCTATCGACTAGAGGCTCTTCACCTTGGAGACCTGCTGCGGATATGGGTACGAACCGGCGCGACACCTCCACGTGGCCCTCTCCCGAATTTTCAAGGTCCGAGGGGAAGACCAGGACACCGCTGCAACTGCGGTGCTCTTCGCATTCCAAACCATATCTCCCTGCTAGAGGATTCCATGGAACTCGAATGCTTATGCAGAAAAGAAACTCTTCCCTGGTCTCCCGACGGCGTCTTCGGGTCTTTTTGGGTTACCCCGACGAACTCTCTTGCGAGGGCCCGACTATTGTACGGTTCCGCTGCCGGGTTTCGGAATAGGAACCGAATTCCCTTTCGCCCGACGGGCGTGTTCTTTATATATACACACATACATACATATATTTATAAAACAACGCCACATCAACATCGGCTTTCGCCTAGGGCTTAGGATCGACTGACTCGTGTGCAACGGCTGTTCACACGAAACCCTTCTCCACGTCAGTCCTCCAGGGCCTCGCTGGAGTATTTGCTACTACCACCAAGATCTGCACCGACGGCGGCTCCAGACGGCCTCACGGCCAGCCCTTCTGCGCGCACCGCCGCGACCCTCCTACTCGTCAGAGCTTCATGGCCGATCCGTTTTTACGCGGATCGAGACCGCACATGCCGCTGACGGCCGAGTATAAGCACGACGCTTCAGCGCCATCCATTTTCAGGGCTAGTAACTTCGGCAGGTGAGTTGTTACACACTCCTTGGCGGATTCCGACTTCCATGGCCACCGTCCTGCTGTCTTAAGTTACCAACGCCTTTCATGGTATCCCATAAGCGTCGATTTAGGCGCTTTAACTCGACGTTTGGTTCATCCCACAGCGCCAGTTCTGCTTACCAAAAATGGCCCACTTGGCACTCTGATTCGATTCTCGCAGCTTCATTAGTTCGAGCAAGCCGGAGATCTCACCCATTTAAAGTTTGAGAATAGGTTGAGGTCGTTTCGACCCCAATGCCTCTAATCATTCGCTTTACCGGATGAAACTCGTCACAGACGAGCGCCAGCTATCCTGAGGGAAACTTCGGAGGGAACCAGCTACTAGATGGTTCGATTAGTCTTTCGCCCCTATACCCAGTTCCGACGATCGATTTGCACGTCAGAATCGCTACGGACCTCCATCAGGGTTTCCCCTGACTTCGTCCTGACCAGGCATAGTTCACCATCTTTCGGGTCCCAGCGTGTACGCTCTTGGTGCGCCTCTTCTCGTAATGAGAACGAGACGCCCCGGGAGTGCGGAGCGGCCGCTTATAGACGTGCCGCCCATCTTCCCTAAATCCGCGCTAGGCGGATCTTTACTTTCATTGCGCCTTTAGGTTTAGTTATGTCCCAATGACTCGCGCACATGCTAGACTCCTTGGTCCGTGTTTCAAGACGGGTCCTGAAATTACCCAAAGCTATAGCGTCGCAGATCGGCGTTTCAAACGAGGTCTGTCCGAGAAATCCGCACGACCAACAGTCGTCCGGGGACGGAACCGGGCGCTAGGTCCGATCGCCGTCTTAGCATCGAACGTGCTTGTCGTGGGTCGGACGCTAATTGAAGAAGTAGCGGCCTCGCGCCATCTGTATACCGTCGAGCGAGTCGGCCGGAACATCGCGGGTTCGAGCACGAATCGCCGAAACGATCGTACACGGACTCCACCGCGAGCCGTAGACCGACACCCAACGGATCGCGACGTCCTACTAGGGGGAAAAGTGCACGCGTTCGACGCCGGATCGAAAAGCGAAAGGCGCGGACGACGCGCGAACGCCGTCCGTCGCGCGACCGCTCATCGCCGACGGCCGAAACGCGAATGAATTTCCCCTTTCGACCTTTCGGGTTTCTCAGGTTTACCCCTGAACGGTTTCACGTACTCTTGAACTCTCTCTTCAAAGTGCTTTTCAACTTTCCCTCACGGTACTTGTTCGCTATCGGTCTCGTGGTCATATTTAGCCTTAGATGGAGTTTACCACCCACTTAGGGCTGCACTCTCAAGCAACCCGACTCTGAGGAGAGATCCTCCCGCGATCGGCAGCGGCCACTACGGGCCTGGCACCCTCTATGGGCTGTGGCCCCGTTCAAGAAGGACTTGGACTCGCCGCGCGACCTCGGGATAAACGGATCCTCCCTAACACCACATTTCCCGGCGCCCGATATCGACCGCGGGATTCGGTGCTGGGCTTTTCCCTGTTCGCTCGCAGCTACTGAGGGAATCCTAGTTAGTTTCTTTTCCTCCGCTTAGTAATATGCTTAAATTCAGCGGGTAGTCTCACCTGCTCTGAGGTCGGTTAACAATATACAACACAACACCACACACAGATATATATGTCACACGCGATCGCTAATACTAAATCGTATAGCTGCTGCTGCTATACTACTACTAGTCGAAAGCGTTCTCTAGTGTTTAGCGCGTATATGCGATCAGACGTCGTTATCTCGAAAAAAATAATTCTCTCTCGGACACGACGATCGCAGCGCAAGTTCGAAACGCGTAACGACTACAGCATATATACATATATATATATATATATATATATATGTAGTGCTATTACGATTTTTATCCGTACAGCGCGCGTGTTCGTTCTATGTGTGAGTTTTGAGATGCCGCGACGACGACAAAGACGACGACGTTTACGATATTACATAAATAAATATATAATAACTAGCGTCGTCGCGTCGTACCGCCGCGTCTACATCCAACACGCTCCGACGTTTCATTCTCCTCTCTCATGTCGTCGTCGTCGTCGTCGTCTCTCGGATAAAGAGATAATACGACGACGCGAACAGAGATCGGAGAGGAAACCGAGCAGTCTTTTAAATTGATACGACCCTCAGCCAGGAGTGGTCCGGGAACAGTATCCGAGGACCGCAATGTGCGTTCGAAATGTCGATGTTCATGTGTCCTGCAGTTCACAAGTTGACGCGCAATTAGCTGCGTTCTTCATCGACCCACGAGCCAAGTGATTCACCGTTCAGGGTAATCGTTTTTTAATTAGACGATCTCTATATATATAAAATATATATCGATACGTCTTTATTGTTATGATAATGGCTAATGTTATTAAAGAAAATATATAAAAAAAAGAAAGCGCGCATTTCTCACGGAGACTTCGTGTATTTTGCGCGGCAAACGCGCAAAATTATTTTTGCGCGTTTATAACAAACGAGCGTGCCGACGAAGTCTCTCGTGTACGCGCGCATTCTATCCGTATCGCGCTTCTATAGCATACGCGTGTGCAAGGGGTACAAATAACACTACAACAGAGTTGTACATAACATGAATATATATGTATGTATTAAGCGTACAACACGTGTCGTCCTCTTGTACCGTCTTTTCGTATGGCGTAGAAATTTCGACTACGGGCGAATATCTTTAAAAACAACCGGAAAAGAAGGAAATGAGTCGTGCGGACACGACGACATATCTCCGTTCTTCTCCCATATAGAGTTACCCGTCGAAAATATCGCCATCCGTACAGACGACGACGTCGTAGAGACACGTGTGTACATACGCATACGCATACAACACAATATTATGTCTATGCGATATACGCGTGTCGGAAC